CTGCTGGGGCGCCCCCGGCGGGCGGCGCCGTGCCTGACGGCGGAGGTGCTCCCCCCGGCGGCGTGGGCGCCGCGCTGGTGGGCGCGCTCGCGGGCGACGGCGGCGGCCTTCCTGGAGGCCCTCCTCCTGGTGCGGTGCCTGGGGCCCCGGCGATCCCTGGTGTGCCGATCGCGGTGGCTGGCGGTCCCATCGCCCCAGCGGGTGGCGCGCAGCTGGGACCACTCGTGGACGGTCCGTGGCGTCAGGCCGTGACTCTGATTGGCGCCGACTGGCGCCGAGGGGTGAATCTCGAGCTCCCGACCTTCGGCGCAGCTGGAGGCATCAGCGGGACGGCCCTCTTCGAGGTAGAGGAGATCGGCGCCACGGGCCCCTCAGGACAGTACCTGAGCGCCCAGTTCAGGGGTGCGTCGCTGGCGGCCGAGGCGATGCGGCTGGACGGCCTTTTCCCGCCGCGCGGGAGCGGGCCTGCGGGCCTCCTGCACTTGTGCGGGCAGGGGCCGGCGCTGTGCGGGGACCCCGCTGTGCCAGGCCGAGGAGTCCTGCATGTCGAGTGGCTGCGGCTGCGCTCGAACCGCGGGTTCGTGGAGCCGTGGGTGCGGCCGAGCGCCTTCGGTGGGCGCGGCGGCGGCGGCGCCTTGGCGGGGGGCGCCCCAGCCGGGGGCGCGGCCCCCGACCGCCTGGCGGCAGCTGCCGCGGCGCGCGCGCAGGCTGCTGCGGCGACGTCTGGCCGCGCTGGTGGCGGTCGCGGCCGCCGCCGCCCCCGGAGCTCCTCGGCCTCGCGCAGCGACGACGACGGTGAGTCGCGTTTTCGCGAGGCCCCCCCCGCGGCGGCAGCGTACGGCTGCTGGCGGAGAAGCGCCCAGGTGCCCTGTACGACGAGGCGATGAAGAACATCGGGCGCGTCATGGGCCTGCGGGAGGGGGCGGACGGCTCAGAGGTTCGAGCGAAGGTCGTGGGCTACCTGCAGGCCGTGGTGTTCGGCCATCACCCTCCAGGGCAGATGCGGATCAACACTCAGCGGGAGCTGCAGACGCTGGCGACCGCGCTGGACCTGCTGGAGAGTGGGTGCCTGGCGGAGTTGAGCGACGTGTTGATGCAGCGCTTCAAGGCTCTGGAGCTGTCGCTGTCCGACGCGAGCTGGCAGGTGGCGAGCGAGCTGGAGATCGCGCCGGACGCGCGGCCCTCGCTGGCCTCGATGGGCGAGCAGGATCTGGCGCGGCGGGCGGCACTGCTGCGCAGGAAGCTGATGGACGCGAAGAGCCGCGGCGGCCTCGGCGGCAAGGGTCAGGGCGAGCGACGAGCCTGACCCGAGGAGGCGAGGCGCGGGAGCGGCGGAGCCCACTCGCCCTCGCCGAGCCGCCAGCAGGGCCGTGGTCGCGGGAAGAGCCGCGGGCGCGGCCGAGGCCGCTTCTTCCCCCTGCGGGCGGGGAGCCCAGCGCGGCCTTGGGCAGGGCCCGCAGCCGCAGCCCCGCCCGCGGGTCCGCCAGGCGCAGCGCGCTCAGGCAGCGCGGGCAGGTCGCCGTCTCCGGGGGCGCTGAGGACGCCTCGAGGCGACGGCCCGCGCCCGAGGGCGGCGGGCGGGCCGAGGCGTGTCTCGCTGGCGACGAGCCCGGAGCGCCACGTCTTCAGGCAGGACCAGCCCGCGGCTGCGGCGGCAGCGGGCCTGCAGCAAGGTCCGCCGCGAGGCCCGGCCCCCCCGAGCGGCCGCCGCCGTGGCGGCAGGAAGCACCGGGGCCGGGGCCAAGGCGGCCTTCCTGCGACGCTGAGGTGAGGCAGCGAGCTGATGGTGCCAGCGCTGATTATGCGCGTGCGAGTGCGACCGAGTTTGCCGAGGTTGCCCGCTCGCGCAGACCGCCCTGGACTTCACCGTCGCGCTCGCCGCCTCCGAGATTGGCTCCTGACCGTGGTGGTGCTGCCGCCTCTCGCCGCCCAGCGTCCTCGTCGTGCCCGCCGGCCTGCGGTGCGGATGCCGACTGTTACGGTGATCCGCTGGCAGAGTGGCGCGAGTGGGCTGGCGCTGCGAGTGATCTTCTGCGAGAGCCTTTTGACGTGGGCCCCGTGTTGTTAAACATAGTCCGCCAGTTCCCAGGCTCCTTCGGTCGCTTCACTAGATATTCCCTCGAGGTAAAGCCACGCGAGCATCCGGCCGACATGGGAGGTCGGCTTCAGCGAGAGATCTGTTGCCGTTACCATGCCCTTCGATCAACAGGTCCCAGATCGTCCGTCAGGGCGACAAGGAGTGGGAAGGACTACGCTGCAGGCTGGTGGTCACTGTCCTGGCGCTAAACTGGGAGTTTGGGTTCCGCTCCCTGAAGCTGGCCAGGCCCTGCCGAGGTCTAGCCAACGCCGCGCAGCAGGCAGCCCTGGTCGCTCTCGGCCGCCGCCTCCTCTTGGCTACGCGGGCCGAGTCTGCTCTACCGCCAGATCTTGACTGGAACGTGCGGCTGAAGGACCGCAAGATCGGCTACGGCGGGGACGAGATCTCGGCTCCGCATCGGCTGACGCTGGAGCAGGTGCTGGACGGGCTGCCGCCGCCAGGCGTCGCGGCCTCCATCGAGGCGGCCGACCTCGCGACGGGGTTCGTGCGCGAGGCCCTCCTGGACCCGACGTTGGTGCTGCTGCCCGCTGCCCTGCGGCGGCCGACGCCGACATCTGCGGGCGTGTGGGCCTCGCTCGAGGAGTGGCATCGGATCGTGCGGGCGCTCCACGAGCGCGGGATGGTGTCGGCGATCCCGAGCAGCGAGATTGCCTGTCGCGACGGAGCCCCGCTCCTGAACGGGGCGTTCGGGGTGCCCAAGCCCCGCGACGAGCCCGTGGTCTGCAGCGACGGCGAGCGCAGGCCGGTCCTGAGGCTCATCACCAACCTTATCCCCTCGAACGCGTGCCAGGAGTGCATCGTGGGAGACACCCCTGAGATGCCGACCATGAGCCAGCTGAACGGCCTGGTGCTGACCGAGTCGGAGGATCTCCTGTGGCGCGGACAGGAAGGCCTTCTTCTACGTCTTCCGCGCGCCGCCTGTGTGGTGGCCTTACATGGTGATAGGGCCGCCCGTCCCCTCGGAGTTGCTTGGCCTGAAGGACGGTGGGACTACGCGCATCTGCCTGCGGGTGATCGGCATGGGCTGGATCAGTGCCGTGGGCGTGACGACCCACCTCCACCGGAACATGCTGCGGCGGAGCGCCTCTGTCCCTCGCGGCCTGCCGCCCAGCCAGGAGATCACTCGGCGCCGACGGCTGCCGTTCAGCGTGGAGAAGCCGTGCCCTCCGGCGTGGATGGTCTACATTGACAACCTGGAGGTCGCGGAGGTCGTGAGCAAGTCCGAGGCCGCGACGTTGCGAGGGGCGGTGCCCGAGCTCATCTCCGAGGCTCGTGCCTGCGATGCGGCTGCGGGCTCCCCGGGGTCGCCGTCCAAGGACATCCATCGAGTGCCTCGAGCGACAACCTTGGGGGGGCTCATCGACGGGGTCGAGGGCGTGCGGCGCCCCCCTGCGGGTTACCTTACCGAGATGGCCAGCCTCACGCTGTGGACGCTGAGCAAGAAGCGGGCCAGCATGCGGCTGGTGCGCATCCTGCTGGGCCGCTGGGTTCGAGTTCACTGCTTCCGGCGGCCGCTGGCGGCCAGCTTTGCCTACGCCTGGAAGTGGCTCGGGAACCCGCGCACTGGCGGCCGCTTCAGCGTGAGCGTGGTCGAGGACCTCTTGATGTGTCTTGCGCTGTCAGGGCTTTGCGTCGCTGACCTGCGCCTCGAGGTCGACCCCCTGGTGTTCGCGTCGGATGCCTCGGAGGCCGCTGGCGCCGTGGTCTACGGCTACGCCCTCTCCGACCGCGGGCGCGCGCTGGCCGAGAGGCGGCAGCGGCCCGCGAACGCCGCCTGCGAGGAGGAGACCGCCCTCGTGACTGTCTTCGACGGCATCGGCGGTGGGCGCCGGGCTTTCGAGATCCTCGGACTGGTCCCTGCCGTGCACCTGTCATTCGAGGTTGACCCCGCGGCGGTGCGGGTGGCCCGGCGCAGCTACCCCAGCACGCAGCACCTGGGGGACGTGACGGAGGCGGACCCGGTGGCCCTGGCAGCCCTGATGCGCGCCCGAGGCCGGGTGTCGCGTGTGCTGGTGGTGGGCGGCTTCCCGTGCCAGGTCTTCGCGGGTCTCAACGTCGCTCGGCAGGGTCTCGACGACCCGCGCGCGGGCCTGGTTGACCACATGGTGCGGATCGTGGACGGGCTGCGGACGGCCATGCCGGAGGCGTCGATCGACTTCCTCGGGGAGAACGTCGCGTCGATGCCCGAGTGCGACGTGCTGCGCCTGAACCAGCTCTTCGGCCGCATCCCGCTGGAGATTGAAGCGGGAGATGTCGGCTGGGTCAGACGTCCGCGGCTCTACTGGGCTTCGTGGGACCTCCTGCCGTCCTTCGAGGCTGAGCCCGTCGTGGTGCGGGCGAAGACCCAGGACGTTCGGCGCGCCTGCAAGGTGGCGCTGAAGGCGGAGCGGCCGCCGCTCGAGGAGTGGCTCCCGCCCGGGGCTGTGTGTCCGGGTCCCGCCGCAGGGGAGCCGCTCCCGACCTTCGTGCGCTGGGCGCCGCGCTCGCAGCCGCGCCCCAGGCCTGCGGGCATTGGGGAGTGCAGCGCTGCTGAGCTGGCGCGCTGGGAGGCGGCGGGCTTCGCTTCGCCGCCCTACCAGTTCCGTGACAAGTGGTGCATCCACCAGGCGGATGGCCGCGTGGAGCCGCCTGACGCGACCATACGAGAGAAGCTGATGGGCTTCCCGGAGGGCCACACCGTGCCGTGCATACGAGCAGCCAGGCGAAGGCCGAGCCCGCCAAGTACGAGGCTCTTCGGCGGTCGCTCGTGGGCAACTCCTTCCAGTGCGAGGTCGTGGCCTGGATCATCAGCCACTGGGCCGTCGGAGCTGGGCTGCTGGTCTCGGTGCCCTCGCTGGGTGAGCTGCACGAGAGTGCGCGAGCCTGGGCTGGTGGCAGGAAGCTGTGGGCCGGCGACGTGACGTCGCTGCGGTGCGGTTGCTCCGAGATCGACGAGGGCTTGCACGCCAAGCTGGACCAGCCCGGCGGGCCCATCTACGTGGGTCGTGGGTCTCGCCGCTGGGGGCTGGCTGCCTCGCGGTGGGGCAACCCTTTCACGATCAGCCCCGAGCGGTCACGCGAGGGCGCTGTTGCCCTGCTCGCTGGTTGGATCCGCACGCAGCCCACCCTCCTGCAGAGCTTGGAGACGCTGCGCGGGGCCCCACTGGTCTGTCACTGTGGGCCCGACCAGGCGTGCCATGCCGACATCCTCTTGGCGGAGTTGGCGAAGCGTGACGTGGTGGAGTGGCGCGAGCTGGACGCGTCCAGACGCATCGTCATGGGGCTCGTCATGGCGTGCCACAACAACGGAGCAGACATCAGGACCGATGGCGCCTCGGAGGCGCTCGGCAAGATCTTCCCGCGGCAGGAGATCGACTCAGGCAGGCATTTGGCGGTGGCGCAAGGCAAGGCAGCTAGTGTGGGATGCAGCAGAGCACATCAACGTTCTTGGGTGCCAGGGCGCGCTGATGATGATTCGATGGCGGGCGCGGTCGGTGCGCCGCCATCAGTGCGTCTTCCTGCACCTGCTCGACAGCATGGTCAACATCGGTGCGCTGTCCAAGCACCGTTCCAGCAGTCCTCAGCTCAACAAGGTGGTGCGGACCTTCTCGGCGTGGGAGCTTGCGATGGGCGCGCGGGCGGTCTTCGGCTTCACGTCGTCGGCTCGCAACGTCGCGGGCGCCCCCTCGCGTCTCCGCGATGGGTAAGAAGCGGAGTAGCCCTGCTGACCGCCGCGCCGCCAGAGCTGGACTGGGGAAGCTGAGAGACGTCAGGATAAAGGCCTCGACACTGGCCCGCTACCGTGGCGCCGCTCAGCGTTTTGTTGACTACCTTGCTGCCAATAACCTGCCGCTGCCTTTCAACTGGGACGATATTGATATCTGCCTGCAAGATTATCTTGAGCACTTGTGGGCCGAGGGCGCCACAGAAGGAGAAGCCAATGACGCCCTCAGCGGCGTGCAGCACCTGCTGAGGACACGACGCCGCTATCCTGGCGCTTGGCAGCTGCTGACAGTCTGGGGCAGACTGGAGATCCCTCAGCGCGCGCCGCCGATGCCTGCCCAGGTGTGCACGGCGCTCGCCGGTTGGGCGCTCAGCCGCGGAGAGGTGGCCTTCGCGGCCGTGCTGCTCGCGGCCTTCCATCTCTGTCTCCGCACTGGCGAGGCTTTGGGGCTGAGCGGCGGCGTCATCTTTCTGAAGCCCTGTGGCCGAGGCGCGGTGTCGCTGCCCTGGGCCAAGACCTCTTGCCAGAAGGGCGCGCGGGAGCAAGTCACGCTTGACGACCCGCTGGTTGGGGCAGTCGTCCATGCGCAGCTCCAGCGCGACAGCCGGCTCTGGCCTGGCACGACGCGCGCCTTTCACGACTTGTTCCGTACTGGGCTCCAGCAGATCGGTTGCAGGCACCTCGCCCTGTCTCCTTACAGCCTGAGGCGCGGAGGCGCCACGCATGAGTTCCTGCTGTCGGGCGACTTGTCTAAGGTCATGTTGCGTGGGCGCTGGGGCTCGGCAAGAACGGTCAAGATATGCATCCAAGACGGGGCTGCCATCATCGCAGAAATGAAGCTCCAGGATCGTGCCCGTTCGACGCTCCAGCAGTTCTCTAATGCACTTTTCGCTCGAATCCGAGCGTTTTGCAGCCCGTGACCTGCTGCAATAATTTGTGATGTCTGGTGCGAGCTGCTGCCCGTGCTGCCGTCGCCAGGCTTGACATATCTTCGGCCTACGGCCAGAGGAAAAACACTGAATGGAGAGCTTGGTGTCTTTTTCGAGAGTTGGCGAGCTTCTTGGGCACGGTCCTGCTGGGCTCTCAGGGGGTTCTCTTTGCTGGGCCCCCCCAAGGCCGTCGAGCCTCCCCTGGCCCCCGAGGCCGTGGAGCGTTCTGGCCCCAGTCTCCCGTGATGGTGGCCGAGCCCAGTCTGCGGATGGTGGTCTGCGAATCCAGCTCTGGCCTCGGGGTGCGGTCTGTGCTCTGGCGTGGGGGTCGGTCCGTGCAAAGGAGGGTAGACCTTTCGAGCTCCGTGCAGAGGCCTCTGTAAATATAAATATAGGTACCCATGGGAGTTTAAGCTCTGTCAACAGCTTTGGCCGATTGAAGAGGGAAAGACAGTTCTCCTTGATTCGATGAGCTATCGCTCACCCCCCGCCTGCCCCACACATGTATACGTTTACGGTAGATGTGTGGGCGTCAGGGGGGTAGCGTGTCACATCGGCCGCATTCGCTTGCATGGCAGCTGTTCTGGCCCACCCACATACCACCCTAAGTGGTGAATGCATCATGAGTCTCGCGAGAGCTCGAGCTTCTTGGGCACGGTCCTGCTGGGCTCTCAGGGGGTTCTCTTTGCTGGGCCCCCCCAAGGCCGTCGAGCCTCCCCTGGCCCCCGAGGCCGTGGAGCGTTCTGGCCCCAGTCTCCCGTGATGGTGGCCGAGCCCAGTCTGCGGATGGTGGTCTGCGAATCCAGCTCTGGCCTCGGGGTGCGGTCTGTGCTCTGGCGTGGGGGGTCGGTCCGTGCAAAAGAGAGTAGACCTTTCGAGCTCCGTGCAGAGGCCTCTGTAAATGTAAATATAGGTGCCCATGGGAGTTTAAGCTCTGTCAACAGCTTTGGCCGATTGAAGAGGGAAAGACATTTCTCCTTAATTCGATGAGCTATCGCTCACCCCCCGCCTGCCCCATATATATATATATATATATATATATATATATATATACCGTGTAACCTTTGTGCTGTGGGCCAGAGGTGAACGCCATGTGGTGTAAGCCGTGTTGTGAAACTTCTGTTGCGGAAGCCTTTTCTTTTGTTGCTTTTTCTTTTTTTTTTTCTTTATGTTTTTTTTTTTTTTTATCTTTTTCTTTTTTTTTTTTTTTTCCTTGGTTTTTCTTATTCTTTTTTTACTTTGGTTTTTTTTTTTTTTTTTTTTTTTTTGTTTTTCTTTTTTTTTTTCCTTTTTTTTTGTTTTTTTTTTTTTCTTTTTTTTTATCTCCTTATTTTTTTTTACTTTTTTTCTTTATACGGTGTAATCATGATGGTGAAAGCCGTGTAGTGTAAGCTATGCGGTATAAGCTCAGCGCACGGGGCGCCCATGAGGGCCCACGAGTTGGCACGGGCGGCAACGTGGTGCAATCTCCGCCGACCTGCCCGGCGCATGGGGCGCCGACGAGCGCCCACGAGGCTGCAAGAACGGCAACGTGGCGCAGCTTCGGCCGACCCACCCAGCGCCCGCGAGGCCGCAGGGGCCAGCAACGCGGAAGATCTTCGGCCGACCCGCCCAATTATTTAGGAACAGAAGCAAGAACCGCTAAGTGCAAGCGCTGCTTGGGGCAATGTCACGATGACTGCACCCTCTCGAGTCGCGGGCAGCCCGCCACCGTGGGCGCCTGCAGTTGTCCCTCTCCTCCTGTTCCCCCGCTCCCTCGCCGCTCCCTCCGTCCCCTCCCTCCGCTCCCTCCCTCCGCTTCCTCTCCTCTCCGCTCCCCTCCCCTCCCCTCCCCTCCCTCCGCTCCCTCCTCTCTCCCTCCGCTCCTCCTCTCTCTCCCTCCGTCCCCTCCCTCCGCTCTCCCCCGCTGCGTGCACAGCGCGTGCGCGAGTGCGCACGACCGGCACGCGCAGCCCCCCGAAGCCCTCGCGACGGCACCGCTGCCATCCGGCCGAGGCTCCGGGCTCTAGCTGGGCGGCTTCTCACCGTGGTGGCTCGGGTGGGGCGTCGGTGTCTGCGGTGTAGAAAAGCCCTCGAGACGCGGGCAAGGTGCTGGACCTGGAGCGCGGCATCAACGCCGGGGTGGCCGCAGGCACCGGGGCGGCCGCGGAGGACGGCGCGCAGCGCCCGCCTGACAGCTCGCCATTCTCAGCGCCGTCGTCGTCGTCGTCGTCGTCGTCGTCGTCGTCGTCGTCGTCGTCGTCGTCGTCGTCGTCGTCGTCGTCGTCGTCCGCGCTGCCGTCGCATCAGTGCACCTGCCCCACCGCCTGGCGGGCAGTGCGCCCAGGGGAGTCTCCGGGGGAGGGGCAGCCGGTCGTCCGGGGCGCCTCCGCGAGCATGCCGAACGCTCTGGGTGGTCGTCGTCGTCTTCGTCGTCGGCGCCGTCGGCGTCGTCGTCGTCTTCGTCGTCGTCGTCGTCGTCGTCGTCGTCGTCCCCTGGCATCCTCATTTCTTGTGAGCAAACTCACGACGAAAGGTCTCGCTGATTTTCGGCCTCTGGGGCCCTCGCCGGGCCCGGGGGCCGTTCAGGATGAAACACCGGTCCCCGAGAAGGGGTAATGAAGTATTTGGGAAGCCGCGCTGTGCAGAGCTCGCGGCGTCAGATGTGTCTGGGGCGCCGTCGCCGTCGGGCAGGGCATCCCGCCTCGGGGCCCAGGGCCATGCCCCCGCCGCGCCTTCCTGGCTCCCCTCCCCGAGCGGGTTCCCTGGCAGGGACTTCTTGGTATCGCTCGGACGTGTGCGCTTTTCCTTCGGCGAGGACCATCGAGGAGCATCCTTGATCATTTGGCGAAAAAGCCATGCACGAAACCGAAAAAAACACAGGGAATGGACGTCCGAGCGATGGCCAGACTGGGCCACGCAGACCAGGGGCGGCTCCCCTCGACCTCCACCGCCCGCACCTGCCGGGCGGCAGAGGCCGCGCAGCGGCTGCCAACCAGCGCGGCCGCGGTCGGGGCCGCCGCCGAGGCCGCGGTCGAGGCCGCCGCCGAGGCCGCAGCGGCGGCCTCGGCGATCTCCGCGGCCGCGCCGCGGCGGCAGTCGCTGCGCGAAAGGCTCGGAAGGTGGAGGTCAAGAGTCAGAGGGTCCTGCCGGCTCCCCTCACCGCACACCAAGCCACCCCAACGCAGCCCGAAGGCCCCAACTTGCCCTCCATTCCCAGTGGGGGGGTGGGCGTCGGGGAACATGGAAAAAACACATGTGGAACCCGTACCCCCCCACGCGAACTTGGGACCTTCGGGTTGGGTTGGGGTGATCGGGTAGGTTGTCACCCCAGTCGACCCCCAGAGCTCCAGATCCATTCTCCGAACACCAGCTTTTTCTCCCGAGTCGTCCTTCGACGGCCCCGAGGGCTGGTGAAGGCCCCAGGAGGCCGAATACAGCGAACAAGCCCCCGCCGTGATTTTTTTCCATTGTGTCACCGGGGGCGGTCCTGCAAAATCGATCCGCTACCCCGCTACCCTGCCACCTTGCTGCGGCCTCGCTGCCGAGCAAGGTAGCAGGGTAGCAGGGCAGCAGGGTAGCCCGGTGGTGCAACATCGATCCGCTACCCTGCTACCCCGCTGCCTCGCTGCGGCCTCGCTGCCGAGCACGGTTGCAGGGTAGCAGGGTAGCAGGGTAGCAGGGTGGCAGGGTAGCCGAGTAGCCGGGTAGCCGGGTAGCGGGATAGCGGGGTGGCGGGGTAGCAGGGTAGCAGGGTAGCAGGACTGGGGACAGGGTCGCCGTGACTGGGGACAGGGTCGCCGTGACTGGGGGCAGGGGAACAGGGTCGCCGTGACTGGGGACAGGGTCGCCGTGACTGGGGACTGGGGACAGGGTCGCCGTGACTGGGGACAGGGTCGCCGCGACTGGGGACAGGGTCGCCGCGACTGGGGACAGGGTCGCCGTGTGCGGGCACTATTCTTATCATTATTGTCAGTATTGCTATTATTATTATTATTATTATTCTGACGTCTTTTTTTGTTTGATTTTGGACGTTGGCACTTTCTCAATTCCAGGGTCGTGGCCACGGCTGAACTCAGCGCGTCGAGCTGGTCATTTTGCCACCCACGAGTCATTTCGCCACCCAGCGTGCCATGCCGTGCCGTGCCGTGCCGTGCCGTGCGCGCTTGTGTAGGACCGTAGCCATTTCGGCTCAAGCACGGCTGCTGTGGTGTACGCGGGCGCTGCGGTGCGCACGAGCGCCGTGCACGGGCACTGCGGTGCACGCACGCCCCTCTCCCGCCCCCCTCCGCCCCCCCCCCCTGGCCCCTTCCCCCCCGTGAAGAGGGGCCTCGAGGAGGAGGGGGAGGGGGGGGAGGGGGAGGAGGAGGAGGAGGAGGAGGGGGAGGAGGGGGAGGAGGAGGAGGGGGAGGGGGAGGAGGAGGAGGAGGAGCGGGAGGGGCCCAGAATAATAAAAGGCTTCCTGTGCGTTCCCCAGGGTGATCTGTCAGGGGAAACTCGGCCCGGGGGGGGGGGCATCGGGAGGGCATCGGCCCCCGAAACCGCGCATGCATCGCCGATATATTTGGGCGCCCCATACCCGCCCAGGAGTGTGCGTTGTTCCCGCTCTCGGTGGCCCAGTTGCCGATCCGTCGGCGAAGCATCGCCGATTCCAGCCGATGCTCCCCCCTCCCTGTGCCTTGGCGGCCCTCGCGGCCCGTTGGGCGCCGTCGTCGGCCCTGCAGCTGTCGGCTGCGGGGCCAGCGGCTGGCGGCGGAGTCCCTCCTCTCCGCCCCTCTTCCGATGCCTCGTGCTTCCTCGCCCTCCTCGTTAACCTTTTCCCTTGGCAATGACTCTGCACTTTTGGCAGCAGGTTCACGGACGGAGGGCGGGGCATTTTCAATATGCTGTTCTCGTCTCAGCGCCGCGCACGTTCGTCTGAAAGGCTTGCAAGAGTTGCTCGGATGGAGGGCGGGCGGTTTCCAGGATGTGGTCATGGTTTCGTTGCCGCGCGCATCCGTCTTCAAAGTGTCCAAGGTTTTTAGCGGATGGAGGGCGGGAGGTTTTCAACACGTGAATCTTGATTCAGTGCCTCGCACATTCGGCTCAATAGTTTCCAGGAGTTTTGCGGATGGATTGCTCATTGTTTCGCTCACTGGTTTAATGTTTGTCCAGGGGTTCTTTGATAGAGAGCGGTTCTTTCTCAAAGTGTGGTTCTCGTATTTGCGCCGCGCACAGTCGTCTCACGAGTATAAAGTAGTTTCATTGATGTTTGTGGTTGACGTCCC